GAGAAATGAACAAGATCATCTGTGTAGAGTAGGCATGGAAAGGAGGTGCTGGAAGTTTCATGTGTGAGGAGAGGGCTGGAGACAGGCAGCTTGGCAATGTGGAAGAATGGATGTGTGACACTTTGGGAAGTGGGCTGTAGTCTCACTTGAAGCCTGCTAACAGGCAATTAAAAGTTAGACCAGAGCACATAGTTTTATGGTCTTTACCAGACACAGTCTGTGAGGGATTCAGATAGATTGGCCTGGAGTTGGAGATACCTGGTATTGGAGTTTTGACAACAGTAGTGACAATTTTTGTAACACAGGTCCCACAGATCTTCCCTAGCTTGTGAATCGACACTTCATCTGTATTTTAAGTACAGAAAACTGACCCTTTACAGTCTAATTCTAGTGTCTCTTTTTTTCTGATATTGTTCTGATGAAGACAGCCCTATTCCTTCCAAGTAACGAGACGGTATCAATTTTCTTCTGGGACCCCCTCCATTTTGTCATGGAAGCCCTTTGTTGGTGACAGTGTGTTGTTTTTTGACAGTCTCATGCTATGTTCAAGAATTCATGATATGTAGCCCGGGCCTGGTGTCACTTGTGTGTCAACAATCCTGCCTCATACTTCAAAGGGCTAAGGTCACAGGCATGAGTCACCACACCTAGGATGGCTGGTTTTTCATTCCTTTACCTATCTATGTGGTGCAAAGCCATAATAATACGTTCAATAAAATGATATTTTCTCAGCGTTGTTATTTGAGTCATGGTCTCTTCAAATCCAGACTGGCCACCCATTCACTGTACAGCAGAGGGTAGAAGAAACACAGGAGTCAAGATATAACCTCGGTAGGGATACGAAGCCCGGAAACTTCTCTCCGGTAAGAGAAATACTTAGATTAACAATTATTGGGTAAATACTTAAGTCAGAGCTAGCCAGTAAGAAACAAGCAAGGTCAACAGCTTCATAATTAATATAGCCTCCTGTGTGTTCTTTGTGACTGATGCGGCTCTGGAACAAGCTGGCAGGAAGGCTTCTCTTTACAATATATGATTTGGATTAAACTTAAGGATATGTCTTCCCAAGACAAACTAAAATTTTATTCTCTACTACAGATTCCAGTGCCATAGAACCCCCTCTCATATACTGGAGACTATTTAAAAAAGACAATTAGCCATTTAGGCAAAGAAATTACATTTTAGATTTGTTTTGTAAGAAAATTTTGCTGGGCAGTGGTGGTGCACTCCTTTAACCCCAGCACTCCGGAGGCAGAGGCAAGAAGATCTCTGTGAGTTTGAGACCATCCAGGTCTACAAGAGCTAGTTCCAAGACAGCCTCCAAAGCCACAGAGAAACCCTGTCTGGAAAAACCAAAACCAAAAAAAAAAAAAAAAAAAAAAAAAACCAAAAAAAAACCAAAAAAGAAAATTTTTTTTACAAGCATAAGGTTTCCAATTCCAGCTCTATGACGGGGGTGGCATGAAACATATAATGAGGGAACTACTGAATATAAAATGCTTGTAAGTGTACAATGCCAGATATAGAGTACACATCCAATGTATGCTACATTTATGTAGGTAATGGTTAGACTGAGTATAGCATAACAGGATTTTTAAAAATTTATTACTGGTGTTTTGTCAGCATGCATGTTTGTGTACCACATGTATGTATTGTCTGCAATTGTTAGCTCCTTTGTGCATGCTGGGAGTTAAACCCAGGGCCTTCTCCGGGAGAGCAGTCAATTCTCTTAACCACTGAATCCCTCTCCAGTCCCAGCAAGAGTTTTTGATACCGTCTTCATTGATATTTTATCTCCCTTCTTGAGATGGTGTAGCCTTGGCTGGGCCAGAGCTCACTGTATATGTAGACCATGTTAGCAGCTGGCCGGCCCTGGCCTCTACTGCCAGGGTGAATGGCTTGGCAGGCCACACCCAGCTTCTTTTACTTTTGTCTCAGCCATCATCTTTGGGGACTGATTTAGGAGTACATGAAACCTATGTCTTCCCATTGAACTGTGTGTTCCATATTGCAGGTTCTCAATGATGCCTTTGGGTTAGTGAGAAAGAGACTGCAGTTTTCAGGGTGGGAGCTCTGTGCTAGGGGAGGAAGTGAGGGAGGATCAGCAGAGAGTGTCCTGGGGAGGGAGGGAGGGGAGGGGCGGAGCCAGCTGCCTGCACTAGATTCTGCTTTTTTTTTGTATTTTTTAAAATTTATTTTTCAGTTTAAATTTAGATAAGAAACAGGGTTGCTTCACAAGTCAGTTCCAGGTCCCTCTCCCTTTCCCTCCCCTCCTCCCTTGACCTCCCCCCACCCCCTCCCATTATCCCCTCATTCCCCCAGGGAGGGTGAGGCCCTCCATGGGGGTGTCCATAGTCTGTCATTTCCTATTTGGGCAGGGCCTAGACCCTTCCCCAAGAGTTCAGGGTGAGAGAACACCTCACATTGTTCATGGGAGTCCAAAGTCCGTGTGTATACTCGGGATGGGTACTGATCTGCTGCCCAAGGCTCAATAGATTACCTAGGCCTCCTCACTGACACCCACATTCAGGCCAGCTGCCTGCACTAGCTTATGCTCTTCACACGGCTTGCTTTCTTTCTTTGGTGGTGGTAGTGGGGCATGTTATTTTATCAAATATAGCTTTTTTGCTTCATATATTTTGGTTATGTCTTCCCTTCCCCAGCTCCTCCTATATCCTCCCTTCTTTCCCTCCCATCCAAATCCACTCTTTTTCTTTTCTAGTTAGAAGACAATCAGGCATCTAAAAAGTAGTGATAAAATAAGATAAAACAAACAAATAAGAATAGGATAAAACAAATGGAAGAGTCAAAGAAAAGGCACAAGAATCACACATGGCCTCAGAGACACAAATTTGCACACAGGAACCCACAAAAACCACAAAACCAGAAACCATAATATATCTGAAAATGACCTGTAAGGTTAAAACAAGAAAAGCCCTGACCTGACAAAGAACCTCCCAAAATACCACTGAGCTGGTTTTGTGTTGTCCTTAAGAGTGACTTGATTGGCCGGGCAGTGGTGGCACACTCCTTTAATCCCAGCACTCGGAGGCAGAGGATAGCAGATCTCTGTGAGTTTGAGTCCGGGCTGGAACGATAGCCTCCAAAACAATACAGAGAAACCCTGTCTCATAAAAAAAAAAAAGAAAAGAAAGAAAGAAAGAAAGAAAGAAAGAAAGAAAGAAAGAAAGAAAAAAAAAGAGTGACTTGATTTTCTGCTGAGACTCTGGGAGAAAAGCTTTCATTTGTGAGCAGTTATCAGATGGAGGTAGCTCCTGGGTTTGGGATAGGAGTTTGTGTCCACTTCCCCTCTCAGCACTGGGACCCCATCTGGCCCAGATCCATGCAGAACCTGGGGTCTTATAAGTGTTCAGATCCTCTTTGTGAAACTGATTGTAATTCTGGGCTCCCCCTTAATCCTCGTCAGGCAGGCAAATGGTAGAGAATTCATGGAGTGGCTAGCCCTTTTCCCCTGCCACACTTTGCTCCATTATTATTACTAGTTTTGAGAGACAGGAGCTCCTACTGTAGACAAGGCAGGCTTTGAACACACAACTCACAGAGATTTGGTTGCCTTTGTCTTCCCTGGGATTAAAGATGCGCTTCACCTTTATTTTCCTACCGTGGCTTGATGCTAAGACAGGGTTTCTCTGTGGATTTGGAGGCTGTCCTGGAACTAGCTCTTGTAGACCAGGATTGCCTCAAATCACAGAGATCCCCCTGCCTCTGCCTCCAGAGTGCTGGAATTAAAGAGGTGTGCTGGGATTAAAGGTGTGTGCCACCAATGCATAGGTTTGCCTATTTTTAAACTTTTAAAAAGTTCATCATTTATCCTTTCAAACAAGATCCAATTTAAGTATTGTATTGCTTTTATGAGAATGTTTTGTTTGCATTACAAACAAACAAACAAACAAGAAAAACAACAACAAAAAAAACCGTTTCTGGAGAGTCCCAATGAAGCAACTGTGAGATACCATGAAGGAAGCTTAACTATCGATTTAAAAGTTACCTCAATTAGCCTCCAGCTCATTTGTCTGTAAAGCTCACACCCCTCCCTTTCAGGTTATGTTTTAAGGTTACCGGTTGTCATTGCATGATTAACTCGTTTTAGTTATATAAAAGTCAAGCACCAGTTAAAAGGGTTAAAGAAAAATGAAAAAACTTTGGAACTTAACTATGTGTGGTTATTTACAACACGAAAAAAGGTTTACAAGTTACACGAAGATGTTTAAGAGGCCATCAAGTTTTTCTGGATCCCAATTTTAAACACGTCTAAAGTTGGAAGTTGTCTAGGAAGGGCAGCTGGGGTCTGGCAGCCCAAGTCCCCTTCCTGGATCCCACTTGACCACTCTCCATAGAGCACTGTTCCTTCTCAACTACACCCTTGCCTTGCTCTAACAAAGGGGTCGTCCCACCAGCGTTCCACGTGATCGCGGTACAGAAGGGCAAGGATGGAGGATTGAAGACCCCCGAGGAGCACACAGAATGCCAAACTCTCAACTAGTGGCAAAAAGAAGCCCAGAAGACTACGTGGGGCAGAGAGATGGAGGGTTCAGCCAAGCTCGGATAGGAGGATCTGGGGGCGGGCCATGCGCGAATAGGGGAGGAGCTAGATCCGCTGCAACAGGCACTGAAGCTCGGTTCCTCCCCCGAGAGGCAAGGCAATGATTCGTGACGTCACAAGGGCGGAGCACGAATTTATAAGGCAACGTGAGTCAGCTTTCAGCAGTCGCTGCTGAGAGCACGAGCTGCTGGGTTGTTTTGCTGTAGTGGTGGTTTGCTCTCACCATCCGTTCTCGGAGCCTGGGACTAAGGGGTCGCGCGCCTGTTTTGTGTGATTGACAGCTACACTCGACTCGGGCAGGGCCATCCCCTGCTGCCTCTCTCCTTAGCCAGGGCAGCAATCTTCAGGCTTCTTTGCTTGCAGCTCACTCATGCAGAGTGCTTCGTCTTTTTGATTTTGGAACTTGTGAGCGTCTTCTTTTTTACCCCCTCCAAAAAACTTTTTTTTTTTTTTTGGCTTGGTGCCTCCAGGGCTGGTTTCCCAGTCCTGAATAACCACTTCCAGACCCAGGTCGCCAGCCCCACCCCAGGTTGCCCCCGGCTCTGCCCCAGGCCCCTGAGGGTGGGAAGCTTTGCCCAGTGGGTCTCTGCCTCATAGCTGCAATTGAGTCAGTATGCTTGGGGTCAACGACCCTCCTCTTTTTATAAAAGACATTAAGGCCGGACTGAAAAACTTAAATGTGGTCTTTATTGTCCTGGAGATAGGTAAGTGGGGTCCGCAGCCCGCAACACACCCTGGAGAGCTCTGACCTCTGTCCCTGCCCGCGCCCCCACGTGCTCCCCCCCCACCCTGCCCGGACTGGGCTCCTACCCCGGGACAGAAGACAGTCTTGTAGTGTGTCCTAGGAGGGTGAGGTAGTTGCCCTGAACGGACTTGTTATCTAACATCCCTTTCCCATCATTCATTTAATCTCAACAGGACACGTGGTGACCAGAACCAAAGATGGCCATGAAGTGAGATCCTGCAAAGTAGCTGACAGAACGGGAAGCATCACTATTTCTGTGTGGGATGAAATGGGAAGACTCATACAGACAGGGGATATTATTCGTTTGACCAGAGGGTAGGTGTGGGGTTGGCCAACTTCTGGGGTCCTGCCAAGTTCTGAGTTGCCTGGCCTGGTTCTTCTGTGGGCTATTTCAAGAAGCTGTGAACTGCTTTGTTGGGCAGAATTGGCAGCAGCTCCCCTTTTGAGGCCCTGCCTTGTTTCAGGGAGGGAGTGCACTCTGCCCCTCAAATTTTAAAGGTTAATTTTTTAACCTATTGTATGGGAGTCAGTGAGCCTTCTGAGTAACTGGTAACCACACTGCCTTTATAATGGTATTTGATATGATGTCTTCCACTTCCTTCCCTTTTGAGTGTCTTGAGATCCTGTCATCACTTAATTTGTACCTTTCGTTTAGGTGGTATGGACATAAACCTAGAGGCTGGGGAATTTATCCTTTTTTCCTTTACCTTCGTTTTGGAAACAGTATCTCTTGTGTTCCAGGTTGTTGTTGATGCTCAGGAGAATGAGTTTGAACCGCTGACCTTCCTGCCTCCACTTCAGGTGGTGGGATTACAGGGATGTACACAAGTGTCCTGGGAATGAGCCAGAGGCCTCCTGCGTGCCAGGCAAGCATTCTGCCTTCTGAGTTCCAGCCCCAGCTCGCATTGGACATTTTCTGTGGTCATATTTGTACTCAGTAAAGAGGAAGACAGCGTCTTGCATACTCATTCCTTCTTGAAAATGATTTCTTCTGTAAGATCAGTGTTTCACACCCCCTCCCACCCAAATACACAGAAAGTGGCAGAAAGACATCTGATACACTCAGAACTTTTAATTGGCAGACTGTTGGCTATAGAGACAGAGCACTGTTTTTCATCAGCTGTTGAAATTTTCATCAAATGTTAGTCTTAAGGCCAGGAAAGAATCTTAGAAGTGTGGAAGCTTATGTGATTGGGACAACTGTAATTTTATTGGTAGCTACCAGAAAAATGGTTATTGATGCTGGCTAAGAGAGCCTCAGAGAAATAACTAGTGCTGACTCCTCTGGGCAGGAGTTCTTTGAAACTATCTCACAGGCCTGATGAAATTTCAGACCTCAACATGATTCTGCTAAGCTGATTAGTTTTTATTTTCCTTAGACTTACTGATGTCTTCCACATTTAAAATAAACAATTGGTTCCATTATGTTGAAACTAAAAGTTGTAAACTTTGGAAGGGCCAGCAATAGGAAGATTAGTGTTCCCCCCTTCCCACCCCATCGTCCCATCCTTGATAAACTTTTACCAGATTTTGAGGAGCTTGGGAACTGTCTGTAGATGTAGGAGTAAAATGTCAGCCTTCTATGACCATGTCAATGAGTGTGAAAGAAAACACTCATGTTGAATCCCTATACTTTGTGGCTGGAAGGCAACACAAATACTGAGTTTGTATCAGAGGCTCCTCAGAATGTACTTTCACTGCTGTGTTGAATTGGGTGGGTCTTGTTGCCTACCCCTCCCTTCCTCCTCTGCTCCTTAACTAAGCTACACACAGGTCAGTGTTAAGTGTGATTTCGTGTAAATGTGTAATGTAGAGGATTTTACAGATATCTCTTCTGTTGCAATTGGGTGTTTGTTTTAAAATTATTTAAATGTAGTCCAATTTAGAGCAGCAGTACATGCTTTACAAAATGCCACTTCTCACCCTCGTCCTCCAGTTCTCCTTGAGGCTGGCCTCAAAGTTGAGTTCTTCCTGTTTCAGCCTTCCCAGTGCTGACATTCAAAATGTGTCACCATGCTTGCCTGGTCAGGTGTTTTTCAAGCTAGGCTTAGGGGCCCATGGCTGACAGATCAGTTCCTCCTGAGGCCGAGACAGGAAGATGGCAAGGCTGGGGACTACTTGCCTTCAGAGCAAGTTAAAGACCAGCCTGGGACACACGGGGAGATAACTAAATACAAGGCTTAAAAACAGGAATATAGTAGCCAAGTGGCTGATTGCTTGCCTCGTTACATGCAAGGAAGGCCTGGGTCAGTCCGCATTAGTGCTCAAAACTGTTTTCCTAGGACTATAATTTACATAACTATGTCATAATGTGCCAGTAGCATTGTCGTTGTGTAATTTCTTATTAGAGTTGCATGGACTGTATTTGTCTTGACATGGTGGGTAGATGGGTTGATTTGCACTTCTACCTGATAAAAAATACACTGAAAATTATTCGAGCTCTACTTTCTTTAGAAAACCTTACTTATTTTCCCTCTAGGTATGCATCAATGTGGAAAGGATGCCTGACACTTTATGCTGGAAGAGGTGGTGAACTTCAAAAAATTGGAGAGTAAGTTTTAAAATACATTTGTATGATGAAGTTTCAAATAATGTCTGCAGAAGAATTGTATAAAGTAAAAACTGCTTACTTGGCTTTTGGAAACTTGGTCTCATGCTGTAGATAGGTAACTGGTTTAAACACTTTCAGTACTCAGAGCTGAGTTTGAGGGGTGGAGCCCCAGAGGAGCTCTTTAGAGTCATGTGTTATGAAGTGTTTGGGTCAGGGTTACAGGATCTGGCTAGATGGTTTTACATACAGAGATGCTGCAGCTAGGTGACAACCACACTAAGTCACTCATATGCTCATGCCTATTCTTTGTCACGGTCAATTTAAGATTTTCTCAAACTGGATGTAGTTTATAGTTGAAAAGCTAAGAAAATGCTTATGTGTGAGCAGGGTACCAAGTTGTGTGGTCAATTACAGGGAGTGCTGGGATGAGGTGGTGACTTAGTAGCCAGTTATGTATCTTAATCGTCTGGAATTTATTCTTTGTAGCTTTGAGTGTCTTTGCAGATACACAGTGAATGATCAAATGGATTCTATGAGTGCATCAAATAGTTGGGTGTTAATATGGGCTATAGCTATTTGGGAAATTTCTGTCACAATTGAATTAGCATGCTACTGTTAAGATAATTCTTTGACACATAAGGTTTTCATTCTTGTAAATTAAGGATGTTGTACAAAAAGCTTCAGAAATCATGTAACTTGTCCGTTGCATTCCTTTAGGTTTTGTATGGTGTATTCAGAACTGCCAAATTTCAGTGAGCCAAACCCAGATTATAGAGGACAGCAGAACAACTCGGTAATTAATCCAAATACATGGCATATTTTTATGATTGGCTGAGGTGACTGTACTATAAGTCTGTCAGTAGGCTAAAGCTCTGATGTCCAAGTGTAAGGGAAATGATATTGAGGACTGGCGATATAGCTAAACTGATAGACTGCTTCCTTAGCATGCATGAAGTTCTAGGCTACTCCCCAGGACTGAATAAGACTGGCATTGGTGGTGCATGCCTGAAGTCCTGTTTCTCAGGAGCTTGTAGACAGGAGGAAAGAAGTTCAAAGTCATTCTTGGTTACTTATTGAGTTTAAACCAACTTGGGGTATATGAGACCCTGTCTCCAAAAAAAAAAAAATCTTTAAGGTGCCCTTCTTACATAGATTTCTGAGTCTGTATATACTTTTTGACAATAGATAATATGTGCTATTTAGTATTTTACAGAGTAAAGATAGCACCAGGAAATACTCATATAATAAAAGCTTTTAAGGGGCTAGGGAAAGATTTCTGAATGCTTTAACATTGAATGAACTTAGATCAATTTTTAAATATTATTGAAAATCATTTTTAAAGCCTTAAAATGGAGTTCCATTGTCTTATTTTGTCTAATTTACTTGTCTTTCAGGAACAAAATGAGAAGGATAAAGTGAATGCTGGGACATTTGGCCCCTTTGGTAAGACTTTTCCTCTATTTTTGATGACATGTAAACATTATGGGAATAATGGAAAATAACCTCGTCAGGTATAATTTCAGTGTTAAATGGGACCTGCAGTAAACAGGAGACCCGAGTAAATGACTTTGTAGGAGTTAGGTCAATGTATTGAGCACATTCTGTATCAACACTGGGGTCCATTATGCCCAACACTGATTACTAAGACTAATTTTGGTACCCCTCTGACAAGATCTTTTATTTCTCTGTTTTTACAAATGTGTATGAAATAGTGGCTATTTATAATATATGTGGAATTACTGGCTGTTTTGACACATTGGAACCTGCCCAGACAAATGGTACTACAGAGTGCAGTCAGTGAATACATTAACAAAGAGCAATCATCTTCCTCAGCCCTCACCAGGGACCCTATTAAAGGTCTGTCTTTAAGTAATGGAGTATGCCTTGTGAGATGCATCTTTCTGTGATTGGAGTTGATTAGGATAGTTGAAGACATTTGCCACCAGCTCACATTGTGGAAAATCTGTCTGCACATAGTTTGATTATATTGGAACATTCCTTATTTGTACTTGAGTCAAACGCCAGTACTCAAACATCTCTGCTTCCCCTCTGTTTTTTTAGTATAGGCAATTAATTTTTTTTAAAAATAATATTCTATTCCCTATTTTATTCCTCAATTTAGATTATCTTTCTATTTATTCAGTACTAAGGTGATGTGTTTTGTAAAGCCATTGCTGGGCCCCAGAGCCTATGTTTTTTCTCATTATGGAATGATTGTGCTTGTTCCCCATGATACTTATAAGCATTTATAGTGTGTATAGCAACTTTACATGATTGTGTTTCTGTAGTATAATATAGACCACTCTGGAAATGGTGATAATATTTTGTATTCTTCCTAGGAAATGGTGTTCAGACTGGGACTGATTCAAGAGGATTTCATCTTCCATATACTGGTAGAAGCAGTGGCCGGGAGCACATCAATTTTCCATTTCCAGGAGCTCGAAGTAGTCAAACAGTCATGACCACAATAAACAATGCCAAGGATCCTAGGAGAGCTTTTAGAAGATGACCGAAGCCAATGAGACTCATGTAGTTTTTAAACTACGTGCCTTACTTGGACACTTAATGCACGTTTATTTATTGTTAACTGTGAAAAGCTTGTCTCTTACAGGTTTCTTGTTACATTTTGGGTTTGTTAAAAAGAATGACTGATTTTTACTGCACAGTGTTGAGCTGCTCATTTCCATCCTGTTGCAGAATAGGAACTCTGAAAGTGGGAACATTTATATTTTAGAAAGACCTTACTGAGTATCACCTGAAAACCTTTTCCTGTTTCAAGGGTGAGCTACTTATGACACCAGCATTTGCCATAACATTTCATGGGAAATGTTCTTTTGTTTTAAACTGGGATGGGGCCGGCGGTAGTGATAGCAGCCCCAAGCAGAAGCCTGGCCTATGCTGGCAGTGCTTTGAGTGCTTGTGGTCCAGGGATGACTGACTTCTAGAGTGACTGGCCTGCCATTGAGAGTGTCCACGGTCAGAAGCACAGCCTACATTCTTGTTTAGTTACCACACTACTAGACTCTTCCCAGAATTGTGCAATACAATGTGTAATATTATAAGTAGTTTTAGAAGAAAACTGTTAGATAATGCTCTTAATATTTGTTACATACAAACATTAAAATTATTCTTAAGAAAAATTTCCAACGTTGTCTTTGTGTTAATTTTTAATCAACCATGTTAAATACTGGTATAATTGGAAGGATTATAATACAACCCAGGACAGAAATTATTGGAACAAATGCAATTCAGATTGAATTCTTATAGCCATGTGACAACCTGGGTCAGGTGGTCAGGTAGAAGTAAGTATGCTAGAGTAAGGATAGGTACTGCTTCTCTTTAAGGGAGTGTATGTGCTTTAGTTCTTTGTTTCTTTTGGGGTTCTTTTTTGTTTTTTTTGTTTTTGTTTTTGTTTTTTCAAGATAGGATTTCTCTGAAGCTCGCTCTGTAGACCAAGCTAGCCTCTGACTTACAGAGATCCACCTGTCTCTGTTTCCTGAGTGCCCTCTCTTAGAAATGTTAAGGTGGGAATTGTGTGTCTTGATAGTCTTGTCACTGTAGGGTGGGTAACTGGTAGATGTTTTCATGTTAGTTTGTCTCCTTAAATATCAGCTCTTGAGTAAATGTCTTGCTCTACTGACAGCACAGCCGCCTGCTCTGCTCTTTCCCCAAGCATGGAGAGTCCAGTTCAGTTTCCTGAAGCTGGGTCGGCTTCAGCCTGCCTGCTTTCTATCTCTGTGTCTGCTGATTCTCCTGGCCTCACATTGTACAATAAGTAAGTTTCTGTTCAAATTCTGTAGCGTTTGGACATAACCTGTGCCAGATATTATTGTTCTATTTCCATTTAACATATTTTAAGTTTGCACTGTATTAGGCTCCATGTGGAGATTATTGTAACATTTAAGATATTGCAGAAAATTTACTTATGGTTTATAGTTGCAGGGCTTTGATATTATATCATTTACAGGGGTAGCTGACCGGTCAGTGCAGTGGCTGAAATGCCCCTCCTCTTGGGTATCATTGCTTGAAGACAGTTTAGGCTGTGTGTGACTCTTGAGGTTCTAGTTATGACTGAGAAGCACTGAGTCTGTCCTGCAACTAGCTCTTGCAGACCACACAGGTCTCAAACTCACAGAGATCTGCCTGACTGTGCCTCAGAAGTGCTGGGACTAAAGGGGTGTGCCACCACAGCCCTGCTTGATCTGCTAGATTTTGAATTCCTCTTCTTCCATCAGTACTGGCTCTTTATGGACAAAGGTTTTGCTCAGGTGCTCAGCAAAGTAAATATTTTGAACTTAGCAGGTCATGTATTCAGCTCTGTTCCCTCCAATTGGAAGGCAGCCTTAGGTCCAGAACAGAAAAGCCATTTGGGCCACTGTTTGCTGACTGTTTGGTGTTCATTTGCTTTGCTGTTAAATCTACTCTACAAACAGGCCACCCATTGTGGGGTATGACCTAGCATGAGTTCCACCTATCTAGATGGGTTTGGGTCTTGTGACCTGGCAACACTCACAGGTTGACTGGTAGAGACACAGGCAATGAACTGTGGCTGACCATTTAGGCTAGCTCGGTATAGTTGGTAGCTGAGGAACACTCCTTCCTGTCTCCCTGTCCCAATCTGCGGAGTATGGGTAACAAATCCTGGTTACAGAGAGTGTTGTGATTCCATGATTATGGATGCCAAGTGCCTAACACAAAGTCATGCTAGAAGAAATAGTAGTTTTCTTCTCTGGCCCAATAACACTGTCTCCTTTGTATATACATATGAAGCTGGACAACCATAGTCCAGCTGGACAACCATAGTGCTATTCTGCAGTTACATGAACATTGAGTATCCAAACTCAAATGTCAGAAAATAAAGTGAAAGCATTGGTTTTGAGCTGAAGCGATTTTGATTTGCGTCCTGTATCTGCATTTACCAACTACATCACATAAACCCAACCAAGGACTGTGGGGTTCTCTAACCCAATTTGTGTCATCCAAGCCAGTGTGCAAAGCATATCCATATCCAAGGCTCAACAAAATTAAGTCCTTCATGGCTACCGGAAGGAAGGCAATGATATCCTTCTTCCATACCATTTGGAAAGAATTCAGAAAATCAACTGGATATTAAATATATATGAATTCAAAGATTATTTGGAGATGTTTCCCATGCAGCCCAGGCTGTCCTAGAGCCCTTGATCTTCCTGTCTGTACCTCCCAAGGTGTGAACCACCATGCACAGCTCAAATTAAAAGCTAATTACAAGTTTGCCCATTTTCCTGGTATAAAAAAGCACTCAGCAGGGTGGTGGTGGTGCACCCCTTTAGTCCCAGCACTCAGGAGGCAGAGACAAGCGAATCTCTGAGTCGGAGACCAGCTTGGTCTACAAGAGCTAGTTCCAGGTCAGCCTCCAAAGCCACAGAGAAACCCTGTCTCGAACCCAGCCCCCAAATAAAACAAAAACAAAAATACCAAAAAAACCTAAACCAAAACCAAAAACACTCATGTTACTGACCTGCTGTGACAGTCTAACCAACTGGTCAAATTTACCATGATTCATTCTACCCAAGAGGTTCCTGGACCTGCTTAGGAAAGTGTAGTGGAAGAGGGATTTGTGGGTGAATGTTTAGATGTCATGATTGCTGTGTACTTGTACATATAGAACAATTTGTTTATGATAACCAAGACACTAACTTTTTCAACATTTATATACAACGAAATGCACCTATTTTGGGTGAACTTTATGGTTTTTTAAGAAATGCCCTACCATACTCTGAAACCCCATCAAAATTCAAAACCTTGTCACCCCCTCTAGAAATCTTTTAAGCTTCTCAACACCACATGAAACCAATGTTCCTTCCCAAGTAGCCATCAATCAGTGTTGAAAATACTTTCAGTTGAAAGGGATTATTTTTTTCGATCTGGAACTGGCAGCCCAGGCCCTTGGGGCACACAGTGCTGAGTTGGAGACTAAGCTAGAGGACATCTTACGACTCAAAGAGGGATGGGTTTGGGGCACACCACTCTTCTCTCAATGGAGCTCTCAGCTAGGAGCGTTTTGTAGGACAGAACAAGTCTGGAATGCAGTGTTGAGAGCAGAGCACTGGCCCAACGCCAGTGTTTTCAGGACAGGTGCTCAGCTCGATTCCCACATGCCCTCTTTGCAGTGTTCATAGTATTCACTGTTAGGATGTATTCAGTTGGCATACCTAGAATACCCTTGTTTCTTGCTTAGCAAAGTTAACCCTGTGTGTGTGTGTGTGTGTGTGTGTGTGTGTGTGTGTGTGTTCACAACATTCAACATATTTTCACTTCCAGGAGAATTGTTTCTGCATTAATCACAGTTTCTATTTGCATATGTTCTCATCACATGGGGATTAAGGATTCTTCCCTTCAATAAACTAATTTATTGAGCACTGATGATTTGCCCAGTCCTATGCTGGCAAGTTCCCCACGTTATGCTCCTTTATAAAATGACCCTGTGATGGAGGTGTTATCTTCGTTAGAAGGACTGAATAATTGCCCAAGATTACACAAATAAGAAGTGACAGCATTCCCCACACAAACCCTGTAATTTAATTGCTGAGTGATACTGATGCATTGAGGCTCTTGCTGGCACACTGAATAAGGCTTCCCAGGGGACAGGACTGTCACTAGTTACCAGCATCTATAGGCAGAGGGCATGATGCAGAGCAGAAGCACAGACTGCAACATTTTACCTGGGATTAGTCATGCGTAATATGTTAACTGAATCCAGATGTGACTAGTCAGATCATAGTCAAGTGGCCCATTACCCAAGCCAGGAAAATTTGGACTTTGAGCATTAGTACAGTACCATTCCCATGAACCTTGTCAAATTTGAAAGCCTTGAACATCCCCAGTGTTTGATGGTGGAGGAGAAAATGACTCAAAGTACATAAGAATTTAAGGAAACACTGATATATTTGACTGCATTTATAGAATACAAATTAAAACTAAAGGATAAACCAGGAAATGGGTTTATTTCACATGAAAAAGGTGCTAATGTTCCTAACACGGAAAAAGCTTACAGAAATTGGAAACCGGGAGCCTTTCCAGTCTTGCTTTAAAACATGTACAAAGGTTTCTCTCTTAGGGTTCTGTTGCTGTGAGCAGACTCCATGACCATGGCAACTCTTAGATATGAAAACAATTGACTCTGGCTGGCTCACAGTTCAGAGGTTTAGTCCTTTAAGCAGGAAGCATGGCAGCATGGTGCTGGACAGAGAGGTAGCTGAGAGTTCTACCTTTGGATGTGCAGGAAGCAACAGTGACACTGGCCAGCTTGAGCTTCTGGGACTTCAGAGCCCATCCCCTAGTGATACACCTCTTCCAACAAAGCCACAGCTACTCCAACAAGGCCACAACAAACAGTGCCAACAAATAATCTATTTGCTATTTTAAATTATATGATTTGATAACATAATGAAACTTGAGAAGTTGATTACTGTTTTCTCAATTAGAACACTTTTCAATGAAGTATTTTTTAGGGTCAATGAGAATCCTACTATTAGTTTAGAAATCCAGTTTTATTAATTTCTCCATATAATCACACTTGTATAGGAGAATCATACTAGTTAATTTCACAATGTGATGATTTAGAGTCTAAAACACTGAACAATGTATAACTTGACTGCATTCATGGTAGCTACACTCTGTGTGTTTCATTGCTTGCGTTTTCAGTAGTCATCCTACTTAGAATGGTACTTAAAGTAGGATTGCTTTAGAGATGAGAGACCAAGTCAAGGGGAATTAGCTGTCTTTAGATAGAAGCTAAATCAGCAGATTTCCCATGCACCCATAAAATACCCCTTTCCAGGACATGCTAGGATTTTTTTGTTTGTTTGTTTGTTTGTTTTGGTTTTTGTTATTTTGGTTTGGTTTTGGTTTTTTGAGACAGGGTTTCTCTGTGGCTTTGGAGACTGTCCTGGAAATAGCTGTTGTAGACCACAATGGTCTTGAACTCACAGAGAACTCCTTCCTGTGCCTCCCAAGTGCTGGGTCTAAAGGCATGTGCCACCACTGCCCGGCAGGATATGCTAGATGTTGAATTACTCTTCTTACATCAGTACTGGCTCTTGATGGACAAAGGTTTCGCTCAGGAGCTTAACAGAGCATGTTGAGATTCCCTGAGAATTATTGCAAATGCCTAACACAAAGGAAATGCTAAAAGAAATAGTGGTTTTCTTCTCCAGCCTTGTAACTCTGTCTCCTTTGTATATACATATGAAACTGGACAACCATAGTCCATGCTGTCCACACACAACTGGAAATTTCAAGTTCACTCTAAGGAACTTCAAATTCAGATGATGCTCCTTGAAAAAACAAATTCTGTCCTCAATTTCTGGGAATTCGTTTTGCATAACTCATGTTA